ACAATGCCCCACCCATATGATTTGCCATGTTAACTAACGCCAGTGCTGCAGTGCCGCCGTGTTTACATTAAAAGGCCTGCAGGGACAGGCTATAGACACCAGAACCACTACATTAAGCTGAAGTGGTTCTGGGGACTATAGTGTTTCTTTAATGTGAGGTAAATTAGAGCTTAGTGCCACGAATAATATACTAGATTGCCTACTTACAACCAGATGAGGATGATGATGGGCTCTAGCTGCAGTCTGGCTCCACTGGTCTGGTGCAGAACAGGCTCTCTGGAGGCGGTTTGTAACTGTGGTCACAAAAATCAATGTTCTGGGAGAACGGGAAGCAGCTCCATTTTTTGGGGGTCCTTTACACAGCTCAAGGTCTGGGTCCCAGGGTCCACCTTCATGTTCCACCAATGAGTTTGTTCACGGGGGTGGAGTGTGTAGGGGATGTCCTGATATGTGTGTAAGGAATGCATTGTGTGAATCTGTGTTTGTATGTGTAAGGGCTGCAAGGTGTGTTTCTGTGTATGTATGGGATGCATTGTGTGTAACGGTTGCATTGCTTGTGTATGTGTGCATGTGTGTTTTTCTGTGTGCAAGGGGTGCATTGTGTGTATGTGATGAATATCAATCTCTCCTCCCGCTCCAATTTCCTTCTCCTCCTCCCAATTTCTCTCTCACCCACCCCCTTATTTCTCTCACCCCCCCTTATTTCTCTTTCTCATCCCGCCTTATTTCTCTCTCACCCCCCCTTATTTCTCTCTCACCCCCCTTATTTCTCTTTCTCACCCCCCCTCCTATTTTCTCTCACCCCCCCTCCTTTCTTTCTCACCCCCTCCTAATTTCAATTTCTCTCCTCCCCTAATTTCTCTTTCCCCCCTCCTAATTTCAATTTCTCTCCCGCCCTAATTTCTCTTTCCCTCCTCCTAATATCTCTCCCTCCCTCCTAATTTCTCTTCCTCCCTCCTAATTTCTCTTCCCCCTCATCCCCCTCCTTTCTCTCCCCCCCTCCTTTCTCTTTCTCTCCCCCCTCCTTTCTCTTTCTCACCTCCTTTCTCACCCCCCCTTTCTCCTCTTTCTCACCCCCCTCCTTTCTCACCCCCCTTTCTCCTCTTTCTCACCCCCTCTCACCCCCTTTCTCCTCTTTCCCACCCCCCCCTCTCCTTTTCACCCCCCCTCTCCTCTTTTTTCACCCTCTCTCCTCTTTTCACCCCCCCTCTCTCCTCTTTTCACCCCCCTCTCCTCTTTTCACCCCCTCTCTCCTCTTTTCTCACCTCCTTTCTCACCCTCCCCTCCTTTCTCTCACCCCTCTCTCACCCCCCCCCTTTCTCCTCTTAGCCCCCCTCTCCTTTTTTTCACCCCCCTCTCCTCTTTTCCTTGCTTCTCCTCTTTTCCACCCCCTTTCTCCTCTTTCACCCCCCTTCTCCTCTTTCACCCTCCTCCTTTCTCCGCCCCCCTCTCCTTTCTCGCCCCCCTCCCCCCTACCTCCCTGTAGCGTGGCCGAGCCCTGTATAGTCCGCGGGTACAGGGAGCTTTTGTTTCCTGTACCCGGCGGACTAACAGGAAGTGCACACTCAGTCCGGCCGGGTACAGGAGACAGCTGCTCTCTGTACCCGTCGGACTAGCATGCTGCAGTGAGGGAGCTGACAGGAGCGCTCCCTCCTGTCAGCCTCTCCTCAGGCTGCGCCCGGGCGGTGCGGTCCGCCCTCATGGACGCACCGCCCGGGCAAAGCTGCAGCCGCCTGAGGCTCTGGTCATAGCACCCCCCACCCTGCTGGCACCGAGGCGGACGCCCCTCCATGCCAATGCGCCACTGATAAGTGCGCACCAGGTTCATTTTAACAGCAAAGGACCACTATAGTCACCCAGACCACTTCAGCTCAATGAAGTGGTCTGGGTGCCAGGTTCCCCAGGTTTTAACCTGCAGCTGTAAACATAGCAGTTTCAGAGAAACTGCTATGTTTACATTGCAGGGTTAATCCAGCCTCTAGTGACTGTCTTCCTGACAGCCGCTAGAGGTGCTTCCGCAACGCTCAATGTGAAAATCTCATTAAGCATGCAGATCGTCCACAGGAAAGCATTGAGTAATGCTTTCTTAGGGGCGGTTTGAATGCGCTCACGGCTCTGGACGCACATGCGCATTCGGCTTCACTCAGGAGCTGAAGTCGGAGGGGGAGGAGAGGTCACCAGCGCCGAGGTAGCCCAGTGCTGGCTTAAGGTAAGTGGCTGAAGGAGTTTTAACCCCTTCAGCCCAGCGGGAGGGGGGCCCTGAGGGTGGGGGGGACCTAAGGACTATATAGTGCCAGCGGACCTGGGAGATGAGCAGTGTAAGTCACGCCCCCTCCTCCTGACATCATCAGGAGAGGCCGGCTGCCTTCTCTGGCTGCAGGGAGAGAGAGGTAAGTTGAAAACTCCGAGTCCCCAGCCAGAGGCAGGGGATTTGGATTTTTGAGCTCCCCTTCTCTTGCGCCCTACGGCGACCTCTTGTGCTGCCTTATGGACGCGCCAGCCCTGCTCCTGGCACCACAACCAGTGGTGTATCCTGGTTTTGTGCTGCCCTAGGCAGGACAAAACTCAGGCACCCCCCTCCCCCCGCGCCACCCCCACCAACCCTTCCCCCGCCCCACCTTCTAAATACACACACACACACACACACACACAGTCAGACACATACACACAGTCAGACACATACACACACACACACAGTCAGACACACACACACACAGACACAAACAGTCATACACACACACACATACACAGACACAGTCAGGCACAAACACACACAGTCACACACACACAGTCAGACACAAACACACACACACAGTCAGACACATACACACTTACAAACACACACAGACACAAACACACACACACACAGTCAGACACAAACACAAACAAACACACACACACACACACAGTCAGACACACACACAGATTAACTTTTTTTTTAAATTTAAATCCCCCGCCCCCAACCTCCTTACCTTTGGGAGTGCTGGGGGGGGGAGGTCTCTCTCTCCCTGGTGGTCCAGTGGCTGCCGGGCGGGCGGCTGGCGAGGGAGCACTTCCTATGAGCTGTCTGCTCAGCTCCCTCGCGCGCCGGCTGCAGAGTGAGACTGGGAGCCGGAAGATGACGTCATCTTCCGGCTCCCAGCCTCACTGTGCGGCGCGCGAGGGAGCTGAGCAGACAGCTCATAGGAAGTGCTCCCTCGCCAGCCGCCCGCCTGCGCCGCCCGCCTGGGATGTCAGTTAGCCGCAAGGCTAACTAGGCATTTGCCCTGGGCATTTGGGGGGCGGCGTTTTTTGCCGCCCCCTGAAAAATGCCGCCCAAGGCAAATGCCTTGTTTGCCTCGTGGCTAATACGTCCCTGACCACAACCACTGCAGTACGCTGTCACTCATAGGAAATTATGCAGTCTATAATACCTGGAGATTCTGACGTTTTGACCTAGAGAGCTTGGCAAACTGATTTCTTTTTTATTACAAAAAGCACAGATCTGCCTTTATCTGCACCTTTTGTCATCCACACTTCTAACACATTACATTCCATATTCAATTTATGGCCTATTTGGTTCTACTCACAGTTAACAAGGCGATTCTGTGTTTTCTTTACATGGAATCCCCACTTTCTTTTTGCATGAGGCATCAATGTTTTAGAAGTCCATTAATTTTTGCATGCAAATGCTCCATAAACTTAATATGCAATGATCAGCCACAACATTAACACCACTGACAGGTGAAGTGAATAACATTAATTATATTGTTACCATAGCACCTATCTAGGGGTGGGATATATTAGGCAGCAAGTAAACAGTCAGTTTGTGGAATTTTATGTGTTGGAAGCAGGAAAAATGGACAAGCGAAAAGATCTAAGTGAAAAGGCCAAATCGTGATGGCTAGAGATGTGTCAGAGAATCTCCAAACTGGCAACTCTTGTTAGGTGTTCCCGGTATGTAGTGGTTACTACCTACCAGAAGTGGTGCAACAAAGGACATATTTGTGTTCAGTGATGTCTCAAGTGTACAATATATCCCCCATGTATGAGTTTTATGGGATTTTAGAAAGTTACAGGGTCAAATATAGGGCTTGGTTTTACACATTAAAATTGTCAGATTGGCTTGCTGGGTCTATGTTGCCTTTGAAACCAGATAGCAGCCCAGAAATGTGAATTACCTCCATTATGGCATACAATGTGCAAACGTAGACAACCCAGGGTATTCAAAATGGGGTATGGCCAGTCTTGTGGTATCCACTTAGACACAAACCCTGGCCAAAGATAGTTTTAATATTTGTTTTTTGCATTTTAAACAAGTCGGTTGAAGTGTGCCGAAAACAGACGTATGCGGTAGGCCTGTAATAAAGAAGGGCCACCTTAGTTATAAAATTACAAATGAAATCGAGTTGAGGGAGTGGTGGGTGGAGCCTGCCGAACGTCAGAACCCACGGTGATGCAGGTAAAGGGGGTAGGTGCTTAAATAGGATCAAAACGCCCCTCCCATAACTCCAGGCAAGCCTTTACATTTGTGTTCGGTGCTATTCTTGTAACGTAAACGTATGTATAGCATGGTGTAAATTATAGATATGAACAAGTCGGTTGAAGTGTGCTGAAACGGACGTATGCGGTAGGCCTGTAATAAAGAGGGCAAAAATTAGCAGTGTCTTGCAAAAGAACATATTTATTACATATTAAAATTACCTCAAGATGACAGTTTAACAAAGGCAGGTTGAGGTTGAGATTGAGGTATATACAAAGCAAACGCTGAGGACTTCCAGCGACCCAAAGACTTAATTATATGCACTGGAATATTTTGACTAGAGGCTGTGGAGGCTGCCCCTATCTGAAAGGAATGGCCAGAAAAATTGCTAGCGTTCAGACCTAGTCTGGTCAGTAACATGCGAACGTATTGCATGAATTTAGCTTTGTGTAGGACTAGCAATGGAATGTCAGACTGAGGGGTTAATGATTGAAGATATGTATCTAGTACTTTTACCGGGCACCATTTGTTTGCAGTAGGATAATATGTAATATGCACTACTTTGCCCAGCTGACTTGTTTACGTAACGGGTAGTGACAAGATCTAGTGATCTTGTCGTTTAACGAGATAGGACCATTTGAGGCAGTCTCGTGCGTATTTGTTACCATGTATGGTAAACTCGCAAGGTCTAAGAAAACCGTTATACACCAAGTAAATGGCTGTTTTGATTACCAGATTTGTAGTGTGTTCAAATGGGGCAGTATCCAACAAGTCAGACATGTCTTTAAATAACTGTTTATGTACTGGTAATCTTGTGGTCGGAGGAGTGGTTCTGGTTTTCTGTATGCCTTTGAGAATGTTTTTAATGGGGTAAGATTATAAAAAACTAGGGTTATCTGGGTATAAGGTATACATGTGGTGTTGGATGCCGGTTAAATATAATTTGATGGTGTTGTGTGACAGTTTGAGTTTTAGATGACAAAATGAAGCAAAAGCTACCAGCATGGAAATGGTAAAAAACTGAACCAAGTTATGTTCTAACATAAACCTCTTATACAGTTTGAAGGCTCTATTGTAGGACCGTTTAGTGTTTTTGGACAAGGCTAAACTAGCCAAGGTGAGGCTGTGCCTTACCAATTCTTTTAGTCCATTACCAGATCCTGAAAACACGGTGTTGCAGTGGCTGTTGGGGAGGCCATGGTTAACGTGTCTCTGAAGGCCTGGAATTCAAAGCAAGACAATTTGTCAGCTGCAGTATTAAAGATTCCTGGTACATGACAACATACCAAATAAAAGTGTTACAGGCAGCCAGCCAGGTCAGTCTTCTCATGAATCTCATCGTCAGAAACTCGGAACGTCCTTTGTTTATGATGTGGCAGGTAGCTAGGTTGTCGGAAAAACAGCATACCGAGCTACCTGCCCAAGACTGACCCCACACCATGGCTGCTGCAACTATAGGGTATATCTCGAATAAGGCTGAGGTGCGTGAGAACCCTTTGATGTACTGAACCTCCTCTGGCCAACCATCCCAAAGCCAATCATTTCCAAATATGGCGGCAAAACCTGTTGATGCTACCACATCCGTCCAAATGACAGGAGAATGGATAGACAATTGAGGCAAGAACATACTTCTGCAACATACATTGCAACAAGAATTTGCACCACATTAATAAATCAGCAGTAGCCTGTGAATCCAGGCAGATACGAGTAACGTCATTTGGTACGAGAGGGAGGAGGCAAAGGAGTCTAGAAATAAAGGCTCTACCTTGCGGGATGATGCGTATTGCTAAATTTAACAAGCCCAGCAAAGATTGCAATTCCTTCTGATTGCATGTCCTATTTACCAAAAAGTGGTTGATGGTTCGTAGAATACTGTCAATTTTGCCTGAGGGGAGGCTGGCTTCCATGCTTACTGAATCGAGCAGGACACCCAAGAAATTAACTAACGTTTCAGGGCCTTCTGTTTTCTTGGGAGAAACTGGCACCCCGAAAGAATGAAAAATCGAGATGGCCTTGGTCAGATCACTGTGGGGAGAGGAATTATTCTCCACAAACAGAAAGTCGTCTAGATAATATATTACCGCCTGACATAAGATAATGTATTACCGCCTGACATAAGGTTTCGGCAAAGGTATTAAATATCTTTGGGCTGCTTTTAGACCCGAACATGAGCCTTGTGAAAAAATAATATAAACCTTTTGTAACAATTTTCTAAGTGTAGTGACAGGTGAGGCCCTGCTAGATGCCAAGTGGCTTGAGAGGCTCTATCTATCTATTGGCGCGAGGGAATTGTTACATAGTTACATAGTTGAAAAGAGACTTGCGTCCATCAAGATAAGCCTTCCTCACATATGAATTTTGTTGTTGATCCAAAACAAGGCAAAAAACCTAGACTGAAGCGCTTCCAATTTTGCCACAAACTAGGAAGAAATTCCTTCTTGACCCCAAAATAGCAGTCATATGTCTCCTTGGATCAAGCAGCTATTACCCCACTAATTAGAAATTATATCCCTGTATGTCATGTTTTTGTAAGTATTTATCCAATTTTATAACATGACAGGAGGCTTCCTATTTTGCATTAACTCTCTTTACTAAACTCCACAGCAGTAAAGAAAAACATAAAGAGTAACAAATAAATCACTGAGCAGCATAGTATATAAGGGTCATGCTGCCTGTACACTTCCTCTTTCTTTACTGCTCCATCGCAGACAGGTCAGAATATCTGCTCCTCTGGAGCTTTATACATTTATACATTTATACATTTATTGTCATTATCTATTTGTTCCATTCTATTGTTATTATCACTATTATTACTTTAATTTATTCCCTTTTATTTCTGTTCTGTACTGGGCTGTGGGACTAGGGGCTCTCTGTGGGTTTCTATACTCTTATCTGCCCCTCTGTTTATTTTGGGACCTTCCCTGGGCCTCCCCTCAGTCTCCCCAGGTCCCCCCACTGCCCCCCTAACCTGGAGTGCCCTCCTGGGCTCCCTCCTTGCGGCCGGAATCGTTCGCGGCCGTTTTCGCGCCGGCCTGCTTCCGCCCGCGGCCGGCCTCAAAATTTAGTCCCCGGCTTGCGGCCTACACTCGCGGCCGCCATTTTGGATCGCGGACATCGCAAGATTCCCGCGGCCACCTTAGTTTTGCCTCGTGCATCTCATTGGGGACTCAGTGTGGCTGTGCTAACTTGCTGTTACCTCTGCATTGCTGTTTTTCACACCTTTTGTGTCTCACACTGTGACTGAAGGATTACCTGCTCAGCACTCCATCTAGCTGCTATCACTCTGCTACTCAGCCTCTGTGCCTCATCTGCTTCTATCAAGCTATATCCTGTGGCTGGGTCAGTCAGGTCAGTGCTGCTGCCTGTTTATTACTGTGACCTGCACTTAAGGGTCCCAACCCTGTGCAACCGGGGTGAGCCCCCACTATAAATACGCTGCTTACTGGGAGACTAGCTGTTGCAGTTCTCTCTAACTGGGTGAGCCCCAGTTTATAAGGTCACTACTATACCCTGCTGGGGTTATTCTGGGCTTGGTCCCACCATACTATCAAATCTGACCCTACGCCTATTATCAAGACCTGGGTGCCCGTTTATTGCTGTGCCTTTCAGTGACGTATCAGCCTACCCTAACATGGAAGTTTCCCAGAACGTCCCTGTGGACTTCCAGGCTATGATTAACGCAGCTGTCGCTGCCTCTGTGGAGAAGGCACTCTCCAAGGCCCGAGCTCCGGCTCCTGACGTACCAAAAACCCGCAGACGTACACGCCACGAATCGGATTCCGACTTGTCCGACTATCAGACAAGGGATGACTCCCGCCCTAAAAAGCGCCATGACAAAGGCGAGGATTATGCACCCAAACCGCCTAAGGGTAAGGCACCTGCCAAGCGCAAATCTGCCAAACTACACACCCCGGCCCCGCGTCAGGAGTACTCTTCAGATGAAGAGCAGGGCCCTGCCCAGTCCATGTCAGTGCTGGATGAATGGCAAGCTGACGCTTGTGAGTCGGATTACGACGCATGGGGCTCGGACGAGAAATCTGTCTCCGCTTTCATGCGGGAGACCCTCCTGGGTGCTGCCCAGACTGGAGGTGTTGAGGACACTGCGGACGCAGAACCTCCTCTAGAATCAGACACCATTTTGGACCCCTCAGGTCAGGCGATGTTCGACCCCCGCAACATACGGCACCCCAGATCGGGTGACTGGTCACCTCCAGAACACCTTTCCAGGTTTATGCACCTGTGGCTCCGCAAACCTCTGGAGAAGGAGGTCCGCAGCCGACTCAGGTCTGAATGCCCACGCCCTTCCCTGCCGGATAAGGTCGCTCAGACCCCTGAATTTGACAAGGTCATGTCGACCTTCATGATGCGCAGTGGTAGAGACCCTCGCCGAGGGGTAGAGAAAGGCCTATGGGGCGCCCAGGATAACCTGCTGGATTCCGTAGGCCCCCTGGCTCGCATTATGTATCTGGCACATGATGCCTACGCCAAAGCCGACTCCTTCTCTGCCGAGGACATCAGGGAATGGGCACATGACGTTCGTGAATGGGCACAACAGTGTTTTGTTTCATTGGAAACACTAATGTTACGCTCTCTTCGGAGAGACGAAAAGCAGCGTTATACCGTATTAACGGTAAATTGGCAGACCTTGGCACAAAGGAGATTGGGCCCCAGGCACAAGGAAAACTATTTGGCAAACCGTTCCTCAGGGAACTCAATAAACACGTAAACGTGTTCACCTCCCTTAATAAGGCGCAATCCTCTATGCGCAGAGTTTTCAGGAGCAACCCTACCAGAGGGGTTTTTGGAAGGGCTGGCCGGCAGCGGGGCCGTGCCGCCAGCCGCTTTTGGCCTTCAGGCCTGATTATTCACTGCATGCACCACCGCCATGTTGTCGGAGAAAAATACCACCTTTCGGTCCCGCAGCCCCTCACCCCATAGTGCCATCGCGACGACCAATAGGAACAACTCCATAAAAGCCAGGTTGCGCATGAGGGGACTCGACCCCCACGCCTCCAGCCACTTTTCCGCACACCATCTGCCCCCAAAGTACGCCCCGAAACCTACACTACCCGACGCATCCGTGAACAGTTCCAACTCTGCCGCCGCCATGCCCTCCTGCCGAAAGAACACCGTCCCGTTAAAATCCCTCAGGAAGGTGTCCCATGCGCTCAAGTCGGCCCTCATGGCCGCAGACACCCGAATAAAATGGCGTGGGGATCGAACCCCCGCCGTAGCAGCCGACAGGCTGCGGCTGAAGACCCTACCCATGGGTATCACACGGCACGCGAAGTTCAGCATGCCAATCAACGACTGCAGCTGCCGCAAAGTGACCTTGCGCACCCGTGCCACAGCCGCCACCACCCCCTTCAGTCCCTCCAGCTTCCCTTGAGGCAGCCGACACTCTCCCCGAACCGAGTCTATCTCTAACCCCAGAAAACTAAGGCACGTCACCGGGCCCTCCGTTTTATCGGCTGCCAACGGAACCCCGAAGCGGCCCGCCACCCACTCAATCGTCCGAAGTATGTGCAGGCACGCGGAGGAGGCGGTTGGCCCTACACAGAGGAAATCATCCAGATAGTGCACTACCGAACCGCTCCCAGCTTCAACCCGCACCACCCACTCGAGAAAGGTGCTAAATTTCTCGAAGTAGGAGCACGAGATGGAACAACCCATGGGGAGGCATAAGTCCACGAAATACGCCCCCTCGAAAAAACACCCCAGCAAGTGATGACAATCCGGGTGGACCGGCAGCAACCGAA